CAGCTCCTCTTTCTACACTGGTTTCTCAAGAGCCAGATCACTGGGTCTCCTAGGGTGTCAGCACCATTTCCAACACCTTCCCACTCACCTGCCTGGCTCCAAACCCCTCCAGGGCTGAGGTCTTGGCCATAACTGTCCCAGTGCAGCCCCCAAGGGAGATGAGGGCGGAAAGCAGCCTTGCTCAATGTCCTGCCACAAGGCAGGGACAGGGGTGAGGCCCTCGCCAGGACTGGGCAGATGAGATGCCTACAGGCGCAGACCCAGGGGAGGGGAGGAATGGACTTCTTGAGTAGGCTGAAAAGGGGCAGGGAGAGGGGGCAGAGGACAGGTTCCTGACCCCAGGAAATTCAGGTACTGGGGGTGAAAGAGAAAGAAGCGGGCGGCACTGCCTCCCAGATAAGGTGACCAACTTTCCCGGTTTGCCAGGACTGAGGGACTGAGTCCCAGGGATGCGGAGCTTTCCATGCTGAAACAGAAACAGCTGTAGACTGTGCCTGTAATGGGCCTAGGCAAGTCCCCGGACATTCACAGCCTTCCGTGGAAAGGGAACTGGGCGAGGTCGGGTCTTGGGGGGTGCTTTCAACTCTGCCACCCGGGCTATGGCCCAGGAGGTGGCCGGGAGGATCTGGGGACGGCAGGGCAGGTGAGGGGAGGCCGGTGGGGTGAGGCTGGGGCTCCAGAAGGCTTCTCCGCGTGGAGCCCCAGCTGCGGGGAGCTGCGGCCCCTCCTGGTCGGCGGGACAGGGGAAGGGAAGAGGCGGGGTAGGTGTGGGCAGGGGCGGGGTGGTGGGGGGACGCGGCGGCAGCAGCAGCGCGCATGCCCAGGCCCAGGGCTCCGGACACCGGGAGAGAGCGGAGGGCGCCTACCTGCAGGCCGTTGGGGTACGCATCGCCCTCGGACAGCGAGTCCACCAGGTCCTCCTCGTCCAGCGTGGCCCGCTTGTAGGTCGACATCTGCAGGGCCAAATGCAGCACGGACTCCCTCAGCGCCTCCATGGCTCTCGCGCCCGAATGGGGAAGCGGCCCGGCCCCCAGCGGCACTGCTGCCGCGCCCCGCCCCGGCCGGCCGGGACACCCGAGACCGAGACCGGCCCACGCAGCGGCCCGAGCGGGGAGGGGTCCCGCCTGCCTCTCACCCCCGCCCTCCGGGCCGCTGCCACCTCACTTCCAGAGCCCACAGCAGGGCGGACACTGGGGGTGGCGGCCACACGCCTCGCATGCTGCGCCCCAGACGCCTGGTCCCGTCGCCCGCCCTGGTGGCCGGGATGGGATGGGATGGGATAGGATGGGCCGGCCAGAGTCGTACCACCTTAGCGGGCGGGGCCTGATCGGTTCGCAGAGCCTGAGGTTCCCAACCTCAGGTCTCCCGGGGAAACCCCCAAGACTCTAGAGGCCAGGGAGAAACGGAGACCCTTCCCTTCCCTGGAGGTCGGGAGAAGGGGCCCCCAAACTGAAGCCCCTAGCAGGCAGGAAAGGCCCTCACAGCAACCTCTCCTTGGAGAAAATCTCAAGTTCCCCTTCAACAACGGAGTCCCTGTGGCAGATAACAAGAGTCAAGGATCAGGAAGGTGCCCTCGATTTGGCCCAGAGCGATCAAGACAGTTGCCCCCAGCATCAGCCCTTAGGCGTGTCTAGGGGGGTCTCCCCTCTTAATGCTAGAAAGATCAGGCAAAAAAGGTGGGGTGAAAAGGCAGGTGTCCCAGTTCAGTCCCCTTTTCTAGCTCAAAGCCCTTGAAGCCAGACTTCACGAATGAGTTTGAGAAAATTGTTTCAGCCCTGACACGGGGTGAAAGGAGCTGCCTGTGCATGTGGATGGCTGCAGGGTGGTCCAGTGGTCACTCCCATGCTCAAAGCTGTCGCCCTCCCTGCAACACAAGAGAAGCACTGCTCCACAGGGAGTCAGAAGCCAGAAAGGGAACCCTCTTTCCCGTCTTCCCCGTCAAGAGTCGGAGCCTCTGCTGGGTGCCCTCTCCCCAGCCCCTGAGGCCTCTCCTGTAACCCTAGGCAGGGAAAGGAGGGCTCTCTCGGATATGAGGTGCTCAGTTAGGGACTCAGCCCCAGCACTGTCTCACCCAAGAACCCCAGAGAGATCTAATCCAGCAGGTTTTCAAAGGACTCCTCTCCACTTCTAGTAAGGCGGGAATTCCTGCATTTAGGCATACTTTTCAGCTTTGCAAAACGCATTTCTGTTCATTCCAAATTTGATCCTTACAGTCATACATATGTGTAAAGAAACGGGTTTAGAGGAGGGAGGGGACCACCCGACATCATAGGGACAGTGAGGGTAGTGGCTCCTGATAGGCAGTGGAACATGGCTTCCACTCCTGCCCTCTGATAGCCCCCTCGGCAGCCAGGATGAGCCTTTAAAATTAAATCTGGCTGGGGCTGGGTGCCATGGCTCACACCTGTAATCCCAACACTTTGGGAGGCCAAGGGGGATGGATCACTTGAGGTCAGGAGTTCAAGAACAGCCTGGCCAACATGGTGAAACCCCATTTCTACTAAAAATATGAAATACAGAATTACAAAATATCAGCTGGGGCTGGTGGCGTGTGTCTGTAATCCCAGCTACTCAGGAGGCTGAGGCAGGAGGATGGTTTGAACCCAGGAGGCGGAGGTTGCAGTGAGCTGACATCATGCCACTGTACTCCAGCCTGGGCGACAGAGTGAGGCTCCATCTCAAAAAACCAAAAACCGGGCCGGGCGCGGTGGCTCACGCCTATAATCCCAGCACTTTGGGAGGCCGAGGCGGGTGGATCACGAGGTCAAGAGATCGAGACCATCTTGGTCAGCAAGGTGAAACCCCGTCTCTACTAAAAATACAAAAATTAGCCGGGCATGGTGGTGCACGCCTGTAGTCCCAGCTACTCAGGAGGCTGAGGCAGGAGAATTGCCTGAACCCAGGAGGCGGAGGTTGCGGTGAGCCGAGATTGTGCCATTGCACTCCAGCCTGGGTAACAACAGCAAAACTCCGTCTCAAAAAAAAAAAAAAAAAAAAAAAAAAAACACCACAGAAATCTGGCTGAGTGCAGTGGCTCATACCTGTAATCCCAGCACTTTGGGAGGCTGAGGCAGGAGGATCACTTGAGTTAGTTCTAGACCAACCTGGGCAACACAGAACTTTTTCATTAGCAGGACGTGGTGGTATATGCCTATTGTCCCAACTACTTGGGAGGCTGAGGTGGGAAAATCGCTTGAAGTCAGAAGGTGGTGGCTGCAGTGAGCCGTGATCACACCACTGCACTCCAGTCTGTACCACACAAGATTCTGTCTGAGTGAATAAAGAAAATGAAATTCTGTTATTGCCATTCCCTTGCTTTAAACTCTTCCACTGTCCCTAGAATAAAATCTGAACCCTTCACCAGGCCCTATGGCCCCTGCCCACTCCAGGCCCTCGTTTTGTACCGCCCCTGCCCCTGCCACCTCCTCACACAGTTCCTCAGTTTCTGTAAGTTTCCCCTTCCCCAAGACCTTTGTACCTGCTGTTGTCTCTGTTCGGGGCATTCTTTTCTCTTTAATCCTCCAATGGTCAGCTCCAACTTCGGATCTCAGCCTGTCACCTCCTATCAGCCCCCCTAAGCAGCCCCCCGAATTCTTTATTACAGCATCTTGTTTGTTTTCCTTTACAGTACTTGTTGCAGCTTTATTTTGTTTTCTTGTCTTTATCACCAATCTCTCTGCCCCTCCCCAGAATCCACAGCTTTACTGGGGCTGGAACCTTGTCTGGCCTGTCAAACAGAATCTCTTATCACCCGGCACAGAGTAGGTGCTCAACAAACAGTTGTTAAAATGAAACGGGGAGGCCGGGCGCAGTGGCTTATGACTGTAATCCTAGCACTTTGGGAGGCCAAGGCAGGTGGATCACGAGGTCAGAAGACTGAGACCAACCTGGCCAACTTGGTGACACCCCATCTCTACTAATATTAAAAAAAAAAAAAAATTAGCCAGGCATGGTGGTGCACACCTGTAGTCCCAGCTACTTAGGAGGCTGAGACAGGAGAATCACTTGAACCCAGGAGGCAGAGGTTGCAGTGAGCTGAGATCACGCCACTGTACTCCAGCCTGGCAACAGAGCAAGACTCTTGTCTCAAAAAAAAAAAAAAAAAAAAAAAAAATGAAAGGGGGAATAAGTGGAGGTGAAGTGCCTTTAAGTTCTCGAGAATTCTCCTGCATCTAACTTCATAATTATAGAAATAGGGAAGACATCTAAAGGTCACAGGCCCTGGAGAGGCAAGGTGCATGCAAAGAGTCTGAATTCTGGAGACTTCTGCGTCACTCCCTCTGGGTGAAGGAGTTTCCACTGCCCACCCTAGCGAGAGGGGACTCTGAGGCTGCTTCACTTATTGCTGGGTTGCAGCTGGGCTTTTTCTAGAATACGACACTTGGTTACACTAAGTACCAGGTGTGGATTGCCAGAGGAAAAGACTTTTGCAAAAGTTCAGTTCACCGAGCATCTCCCCGGCCACCTGGTGGTGTAAGGGATTTATCAGTTCTTTTATACCCACCATGGTTTTTTTCTTTTTCTTTTTTTTCTTTTTTTGAGACAAAGTCTCGCTTTGTCGCCCCGGCTGGAGTGCAGTGGCGTGACCTCTGCTCACTGCAACCTCCACCTCCTGGGTTCAAGGGATTCTCCTGCCTCAGCCTGCTAAGTAGCTGGGACTATAGGTACATGCTACCACGCCTGGCTAATTTTTTGCATTTTTAGTAGAGATGGGATTTCACAATGTTAGCCAGGAAGGTCTCACTCTACTGACCTTGTGATCCGCCTTCCTCCGCCTCCCAAAGTGCCAGGATTACAGACGTGAGCCACCACGCCTGGCCCAGCCACCATCTCTTTTAAGCCTCTCACCCCTCCCTCGGAAGGAAGTATCACTGGTCCCTTTTACAGAGAATGAAACTGAGGCTCAGGGAAGTAACTGGCCCAGGTGCGGTTAAGTGATGGCTCCTCCTTCTGTCTCATTTCAGAGATTTCCCCCTTCTGGGAAGCTCTCCTGACCACCCTCCAGGGACCCCAGACAGTGTTTGGTCCCTGACTCTGTGTCCCCACACAGCCACCCCACCCCATGCTGAGGCACACAGCACTTTAGACAGGAGAATCCTGATGGCAGTGGCTGGGTCTCGTGGGACCCAGTCTCCTCCAGGGCTTAGTCTGAGGCTGGAGCTTCTGTAGATGTTTGATCAAAGCAAGGAAGCAAGGGAGGGAGGCCGGAAGCCACCCCAGGGATCCTGATGGCCACCCTGTGGCAGCCTGTCAGTGGACAGATGATACAGGAAGCTAACGGAACTCCCAAGCAGAAATCGGCAGAGATGGATCGCTGGTTACTTTTCAGCACACAAAAGCCAAGGGCCGCTTCCTGAGATGCGTGCCTCAGCCAGGTAGTGAAACTGAACTCCCCTCAGATGGGAAAGGCTTGGTGGGCTCTGCTTGTTGGGAAGTACACAGTGGGTGAGTGACATTCCAACAGCAGTCCAGGGCCCTTCGCCCGGGGCCTTCCATTCACCACCTCAGTGGCTTCCCACACCTACCTAGAGCCTCAGCCTCACAGGTATCACTTCCAGCGTACAGAGATGGGGAGGAGAACTGGACAGACCAAACACCGCCCATGCCACTTGACAAATCTCTCTCTCCTAACCCCACAGTGCCTCACCCCTGAGGCGAGAATCATCACCTCTGCTTTACAAATGAGATGACCAAGGGTCAGGGAGGAGGAAGGACACCCCCCCAGCCCCGAGTCGCCTGCCTGGAAGAGAGGGAGCCAGGATGCGAATCTTCCCCTGCCAAACCCACTGACTCCATTATACTGCCTCCAGAGAACTCGAGCCCCATGGCTAGAAAGTGGCAGAGCTGGGCCTTGAACCTGGGTCCTGGCCTCTTGGTCCTGTGCTCCTTGTGGAAGGTGGAACTGCTTCTTCAGGTGGGGACCTCAGAGTCTCGGTGCCCTGGGCAGACTGTGGCTCTGGGCTGGCAGGGCAGCCAGCACTTACTCTCCCTAATTGCCTCATTTGTGGTTATGGGTGCCACACCTGGCCCTGAGAGCGCTGGGGAAAAGGAAAGCAGCTCTGCCTTGGTTTGCTCAGTTCCCTTCCAGGCACTGTGCGGCCGTGGAGGAGAAATTTGGGTTGAATCTAGGTCTGGTGTTCATGAGAAGGGACTGGAAGAAACCAAGAATGGAGGGTAGAACCACAGCTCCCTATAGACTGCCCGACCTCAGTCCCTGGTCCCCGAGCTGCACAGAGGAAGTGACGAAAGCCAGATGAAGGTGCCACAGTGCCCAGCTGTGGAAACTCCACCCTTGGAAATCAAAGGCCTGGGGTGAGCAGAAACAAGAAGTATAAACACGCACGTGTTTCTGGCGATAAAAGCCTCCTGGCCTAGTGGCACCTGGGCATGACCCCATTTGCCCAGACTACGCTAGTCACTCATATGGCTATTGTGTCTGGTTGGCCAAAGGTGGGGGATCGTCGAGGCATCCTGGAGTGTGTCAGAGGCAGGAAAGAGCAGCCCCACAAGTGAAATTCTGGGGCCTGGGACTGAGCCACACCCTCTGCAAGCTGTTTTCACAGTGTTTCTAAGCCTCAGCTCCTTAGAGACACTGCCGTTTGTGGCCAAAGTCTCTATCAGTTACTACTTTTGATGCTGGTAATTGGCAGGGATCTGTTACAACCTTACCTGCCATCTAAAACACACTCATATTATCTGGTAGCTAAACACTTAGATTTAACAGGAGCTATAATACAGCAGGTAAAAGCTCTGTATCTAAACCTCATTTCAGATCCCCAGTCTGAACTTCCAAGCTGTGCGACCTTGCGTAAATGACTTAGCCTCTCTGTACCTCAGTACTCATCTGTCAAATGAAGATGATGATGAGAATAATTGTACCGCCCTTATAGGACTGTGATGATACTTAAATGAGTTAATATAGATAAAGTACTTGGCTGCATGGTGACTCATGCCTGCAATCCCAGCACTTTGGGAGATGGAGGCAGGAGAACTGCTTGAGGCCAGGAGTTCAAGACCAGCCTGGGCAACACAGCAAAACTCTTCCTCAAAAAATGAAAACAAAAATAAACCAAAGTAATTTACGACAACTTTGGGCAAGGGCTGAGATATAAAAATATGGCTATCACTTCAAAAGATAGGCCACTTGACATTTATTATTACATTATCCATTATATTTCTCAGCATTTTTCACAAGAGAAATTTCCGTGTGATTATTTTTTAATTTACTATGAAATTCCTGAAGGCATAAACTGCTGCTTTACTTTTTGATAACAAGAATCAGCTTGTATCTCTTTTTTCTTTGGCTGCCAGGAAACTCACAGCCAAATCAGAAACTCAACTACGGACACTTTCTTGGCCTTTATGTTCAGCCTTTTCCTGGTCCATATTTTCCACTCTGTTTTCCATGATTCTGATTTTCCATTTCGTACTGCATATTGTTTTACTGACTGTATTTTATTTGTAACCTATTATGAATCCTTTACGGAACAGTGAGTAGAGTGAGTCAGAAACAACATTTATCAGGCAGTAAAGACAGACCTGAGCCCAATCACAGGTTTCCTGGCTCATGTGACCTTGAACACGTTGTTTTCACCCTCAGGTCTCAGTTTCCTTATCTGTAAAAGGGCCATTGTGAATACCGAGTAAGCTGGAACATGAACTGCCTGGCATCCAGCAGCCCAGCCCTGCGTGCACTGTACCAGAGGAACATGTGGCGTGGGCCACCTCTTTCTGCTTGTTTCTCTTTGTTTTCCTCACCACCCCTCCCATTTGCTTCTGCCCTCATCCAGATTTTCCAGTCTTGGCCTTCGTTCGGCCAATGTTTGTCATTAATATAGCCCTGCTGTAAACTCAGTGAAAATAACAGACTGCCTAGGTGATGGAGGTTAATATCAACAGCAAGAAGTCAAATACGAGTTATTAATAGAAATCATGCGCCCATCGTCTGGGGGCTCATGCTTATAATTCCAGCACTTTGGGAGGCAAGGTGGGCAGACTGCTTGAGCCCAAGAGTTGGGGACCAGCCTGAGTAACATAGTGAGATTTTGTCTCTACAAAAAAAAAAAAAAAAAAAAAAAAAAAAAATTAGCTAGGTGTGGTGGCATGCACCTGTGACCCTGCTACTTGGGAGACTGAAGTGGAAGGACTGCTTGAGCCTAGAAGGCTGAGGCTGTAGTGAGCTGAGATCACAACCCTGCACTCTAATCTGGGTGTAGAGCAAGACTGTCTCAACTACAAAGAAAAAAGAGAAAGAAAAGAAAATAGAGTCACTGACATCGACACTGCCCAGTTCTCAAGGCTCTTTGATACTCTTCTTTATGTCTTATAATCACCTTGTGGGGTAAATCCTGGTATCCCCATTTTGCAGATGCAGAGACTGAGGCTCAGAGAAAGGAAGCAGCTTGCCAGAGCTGGAGCCCAAAGCCAGACCTTCCTGGTTATCTCAGGGTCTCTCCCCTTTTTCTTGTGCCTCCTCCCCAGAGCCTGGCTCTCTAGGCTAACTTCCTTCAGAGGCTACAGGCCACCCATCTAGGATGTAGGAATAGGGACAGATGTAACTGGTGGCGGCTGGGGCAGGAGCCTCTCCTTTGTTCCACCAAGGGTTCAGATGGAACTGAGGGCCTGAGCACGGGAAGGCAGCAGGTGGGCAGCGCTGGGGAGGCCTCAAGGTAAGACTCAGGGAGACACTCGAAGGCCAAGGGCACAGGTAGGAGGTCAAGGCTGCTAACTGACCCTTGGAGAAGGCAGCAGCCCTGCCAGTCTATGGGTCAACCACTCTGATATGGCCCCAAGTCGCAGGGCTGGGCTCCCGTGAACACACTGGCAGCAGGAGACTCGCCTGCACACACAGGGCGCTGGGAGGCACTCACTCACTCACTCACTCACTCAGCCCGCTGTTGACTCAACTGTCAGGGCCCTGGGAAGCCCCGGGAATCTTACCTAGTGTTGCTGGCCCATTCCTCAGTGCCTGCTGTGGAGGCCACTCCATGCCCAAGCCCCAGTCCTGGTCAGCAGCCTCTCACTCCTACCTGATACAGGCCACTGACCTGCCCACCCTGTCCGCCGGCCTGACAGCCTCCATCAATCATCTCTGGCCCTCTGTCCAGGCCCACTGGGCTCAGTGCCCTTGGGGTGCCTTCCCTGGTTACCCCCAACTCCCTGGATCTTCCACAATAGCTCCCTTTAGTCCTTCGGCTCCTGGCTAGCTCCTGGCAGAACTTTCTTTTTTTCATTTTGTTTTTTGAGACAGTCTCGCTCTGTCATCCAGGCTAGAGTGCAGTGGCACAATCTCAGCTCACTGTGACCTCCACCTCCCGAGTTCAAGCAATTCAATTCTCCTGCCTCAGCCTCCTGAGTAGCTGGGACTACAGGCACCTGCCACCACGCCCAGCTAATTTTTGTATTTTTAGTAGATATGGGGTTTCGCCATGTTGGTCAGGCTGGTCCCAAACTCCTGATTTCAAGTGGGCCACCTGCCTTGGCCTTCCAAAGTGCTGGGATTACAGGAACGAGCCACAGTGCCTGGCCTCCTTTATTTTGTTTTGTTTTGAAGAGACTAGGTCTCATTCTGTTACTCAGGCTAAATAAAGTACAGTGGTGTGATCGTGGCTCACTGCAGCCTCTAAACTCAAGGGATCAAATGATGCTTTTGCCTCAGCCTCCTGAGTAGCTAGGACCAGGAGTGGGTACTACCATGCCTAGCTAATTTTAAACATCTTTTTTTGTAGAGACAAAGTCTCATTACGTTCCCAGACTGGTCTCAAACTCCTGGGCTCAAGCAATCCTCTGGCCTCAACTTCCTAAAATGATGGGACTACAGGCATGAGTCACCTCGCCCAGCCTGGGTAGAACTTTCTAAAGTGGGACTCCTTCACACGCCGACTCCCTGGAGCTGGCAAGAGAAAGCCCTTGAGCCTTGCCCTGGCTTGCTGAACCCTCCCTCCCAGCTCTGTCTGCCTTCTTTCTCCAGCTAGCTCCTCAGCTCAATGCGAGTTCCTCCAGGCAGCTCTCTCGGACTTCGCAGTGACCCTCCCCTGCTGCTCTCAGTAGCATGCTTCCAGCATCTCATCCCAACAGAATGAACAGCAGCCAAGTGCAACTGTGTGGCCCTGCCTGAGTCATTTCACTTCCTTTTCATGCTCTGGCTGTCACACCTTTCCACGGATATGAATGGAGATGATCGTGTCGACCCCAAAGGATCCTTACATGTCTTAAAAAAGTGAGACACGGAAAGGCCTCAGCCCAGTGCCTAGCAGAGATGCACATGGGAGAGAGGAAATGACTAGAGAAGACCCGGGAGACCCGTGGTGTGCCGGGCACTGGACCTGGGGCTCGGTGGCACCTGCCAGCTCTTTCCAACTGTGAAACACCTGGATTGCCGCGAGGGTCAGTAACGCGCCCTAAGTCACGCATCTGGTAAACAGCAAGGCCTGGATTTGAACCCAGGTTTTGCCATTACATCGGATTAGCTGGCAGTCACCACCTCCTTCCAACCCTCCCTGCCTCACCTGCTCCATCCTTATGACTTCAGGTGTCACCTCCCAGCTGGGTTTAAGGGGTTGAGTTGTCCACTCTGATCTTTTCCAAGCACAAACTGCAAGGTAGACCAGAATGCAGCCGGCCCTGACTCCAGGGCTACCTACAGATGCCCCTGTAGCTCCTCATGCTCCTGCGCTCCTGTGTGATGTCCTGGGCTGCACAGGATGACAGGCTGGGGAAGCTCCAAGCTGAAGAGACCATGTGCTCCCTGACAATTTGCTGATCTAATCACATACAACTTAAGACAAAGTTAACCCGTCTGATTGAATGATATGGTATAATGGCAATGACTGAGCTCCCCAGTAATTAGGCTTAACCAGGAAGCAGCTCATGGAGTCGGCTGTAATTAGTATTTGTGTTACACAGGTGGGTGGGTGGGTGAGGGCTGGGCAGAGGGAGGAGGAAGTGGGTGGGGCACGAAGCTCAGGGACTTTTTGGATCTATGAGCCCCATGCCAACCAACTCATGTGGGTGATCCTAACATTCATGATGACCTCATGATGTACTGTTATCTCTCTTCTAAGGTGAGAAAACAGGCTCAGAGAAGTCCATTCACTTGTCCAAGGTCATGCAGCTAGAAAATGACAGAGCCAGGGTTCCCTCTCGAGCCCAGGCGATGTCTTAGACAGCAGAAGGAACAGGAATAGAGCTGGGAGGAGGCTGGAGATCCACATTTGGGTCCCAGTTCTGACACTGCCTTACCCTGGGCCTCAGCAAGTAGATCCCTATTCAGGACACAAAGAGATGGTATGTCTGCCAGGTTGTGGGCAGCTGAGGGTGTGGACTTGGGAGCTAGGCTCATTGGATTCTAATCCTTGGGCAAGCTACTTCACCATCTGAGCCTCAATGTCCTCATCTGTAAAGTGGAGATGACAACAGTGTCTCCCTCATAGGCTTGTGAAGATAAAACGAGTAATAAGACTTAGAACAATGCCTGAATATTACTGTCCTTTAAGGGGAAAAAATGGGCTTTGTTGTCCATTTTTCATCTGTAAAATGGGAAGGTAGTTGCTGGATCAGAACGGTGGTTTGCAAATAGATTTTTTTCATCACTTAGGGCCCTTTATTAAAAAAAACTAAACACAGCAACCCAAAATACAAAAGAGATGTAAGTGGAGCTGCCACTTACGCACTCAATGAGCTCATAACCTGACCCTGAACCCAGTTCCCTCAGAGTTTCTAAGGAATGAAATTTGAAAAATCACTCAACTGTCTCTGTCTCTGAGAACTGGTGGTTCTAAGTTCTGAGATCACAGGTAGGGGTAAAGCAGGAAACCATGGCATGGGCCAGGATGGTGCTCGCCCATCGGAAGCAGGCACATGGGGGCTATGGGACATGCAGGGTTCCCTGCTGGTGGCCTACTGGCTGCCACCATTCCAGCTGGACAACTGTCTCCCCAAGAGGTGGCTGAGAAGCAGGCTGAGAAGAACACCAGGCTTGGAATCGGGGGGTGGCTCTGGGCAGGTCATGTCCCTCTCTGGACCCCCTTTTCCTTACCAGTAAGATGGGGGTGGTAACACCGCACTCAGCAGGTGGCCTAAGGACAACATAGCATCATGCACGTGAAAAGGCTTTGCGACAGGAAGACTGCCCTGAATTACTTTTTTTTGTTTGAGACAGAGTCTCACTCTGTCATGTCACCTTGGCTGGAGTGCAGTGGTGCGATCTCAGCTCACTGCAACCTCCACTTCCTGGGCTCAAGCAATTCTCCTGCCTCAGCCTCCTGAGTAGCTGGGACCACAGGCCTATAGCACCATGCCCCGCTAATTTTTTTGGTATTTTTAGTAGAGACAGGGTTCTGCCATGTTAGCCAAGCTGGCCTCAAACTCCTGACCTCAAGTGATCTGCCCGCCTTGGCCTCCCACAGTGCCGGGGTTACAGGCATGAGCCACTGTGCCCAGCCCTGAATTACTATTTTTGCTCCTTTTGCAGACTTTTGTTTTCTTCTTAAGAGCATAGATTCTGAAGCCAGACTACATAGGTTTGAGTCTCCGCTCCGGCACCAGCTGAGTGCTCAAAATCCAGCTACTGAGCCAGTTTCCTCAGAGTCAAATGATGACATAAGGGCTTTGTGTAGTGCCTGGTACACAGCAAATGCTCCATAAGTGTTTGCTGCTCTTGGGTTTGGTAAACAATCATGGCAAACCTGCTCCCTAGCACCCAAGTCCAGTGTAGACAAAGCTGAAGAGGGTGTGTCTCCTCCGGACCCTCTCAAAGTACACAGGTGAAAAGCAGAAGTGAAATGTTTGGGTGCTGAGCTCACATATGGACTGAGTTTTCCTAGGCTGGCTTGGGGCTGTGTCTGACCTCTGTTCTTGAAAAGCCAATTTATGCTGGGTGCAGTGGCTCACGCCTATGATCCCAGCACTTTGGGAGGCTGAGGCGGAAGGATGGCTTTGAGGTCAGGAGTTCGAGAGCAGCCTGGGTAATAGGGCAAAACCCCATCTCTTAAAACAAAACAAAACAAAAGTTAGCTGGGAATGGTGATGTGGTGGCTTGCATCTGTGGTCCCTGCTACTGGAGAGGCTGAGGCAGGAGAATTATTTGAAGCCAGGAGGTAGAGGTTGCAGTGAACCGAGATCACACCATTACACTCCAGCCTGGGAGACAAAGTGAGACCCTGTCTCAAAAAAAAAAAAAAAAAAAAAAAAAAAAAAGGCCAATTCAACAGCTATCTCCTGGAAGTTCTGTGACGCCAGGCCCTCACCACAACCTTGTGTGATAGGTAGCACTGTTCCCATCTGACAGATGAAGAGACTGAGGCTCGGAGAGGTGACATGGCCACCTTGAGGTCAGACTGCCCATTCCAAGCCAGGCTCAGTGGCCTACCCTGATGTGGAGCTGCAGGAAAGTACGTGAGGCCCAAGTGCCAGCCCAAACTGCATGGTATTCTAGCAGCCAGCGCATTCTCAGAGTGGGGAGAGCCAGCGGGCACTAGGTCTTAGGAACCAACCTTGGCCCCAAGGGAACCAGCAGCTTAACAGGCTAAGCTCCCCACGTCCAGCCCCATGCCATCTCCTCCAGGAGGCCCTCTTTGACCAGTCCTGGCACCTCACCCTCCTCTGGCCCAGGCCCCACACCAAGCCCCTTGCTGTGTACCAGACTGGGGCAAGGTGCTCTACGTGCATCACTCTTTTTAATCCTGCCAACAACTTTCCGGCTCTGTTACCTGGGCAGTCTACCTGCCTGAGCCTCCACTTTCTCACTGGTGAAATGTATCTCAGAACTGGGTATAAGGATCAAATTAAGAAAACCCAATAATAATGGCAAATACTTATTTGGCACTTACTGCGTATCAGGCCCTGGCTTAGTGACTTAGAGATGAAATAAGGGCCAGGGAGGAGGATCCGGATGTGTCTGCTGGCCTCTCCCCATCATGCCCCTTGTCAGGCTCCAGAAATGACCACAGACCCTTTTCTCAACCCACTGTTCAGAGGAATGCACAGAATGCCAGCGGGGGATCCAGGAGTCCTGGCCCGCCCTGCCCCCTTCGGAGGGAAATGTACCATTGTTTTACCTGGTGATGTTTGTATTCCCCTTCCCCACCTTCCCCAAGTGGCAAGCTTGTCCAGTGAATCACCAGGGGGCAGAAATGCCCCAGCCACTGGCTCCCAGGCAGCAGCAGCCTGCCCTGCCCCTGGGCCTGGGATGGCCGACTTCTCTATCCTCATCTCCCCGTCTCTCTCCCCTGCCACCCCCGGGCCTGGGCTTTATACCCAGCCAGGCTCCTGCTATTTCTGCCCCTATCTGCCCAGTGCTTTCTATGCCTCTGATGGCTCCTCACCCACCAGGCTTCTAACCACCCAGCCCCACCACTGGCTGCTTCCCCAGTGCTTTCTCAAACTGGGCTCCACCAACTGAGAGCCAAGGTGCCCAGACAGGCAAAGTGCCTGAGCCAGGGCAATCCCAGCAGAGTGGGGCCGAGGCACTCTCTCCTCACCTGTCCAGGGAGGTGGCACCATGGTGGCTGTCAAAGTTACACTCAAGTGGCATAACCATCCCCAGCGGCTCACCCTCCAGGGGAGAACTTGTAGTGGTGGGGAACACAGACTGTGGAGAGACAGTCACAATTCAAATCCCAGCTCTGCCAAGTACTGACTCCACAACCTTGGGCAAATCTCTTAATCCTTCTCTATGGCTCAGCTTACTCATCTGTAAAATGGATCTATTAATAAACTGTTACAAGGATTACGTGACTTAATAACAGAGAGCACTTAGAACAGGACCTGAAACAAAGGAAGCTCTCAGGAAATACCAGCTATCATTATTACTAACATTCCAACTGGCCCAAGGCAGAACTTGCAAACTGGCCATCCACAGGTCAAATCTGGCCCACAGATGTGAATTATTTGGCCTACAGCGCTAGAAATTTGTGGTTGTTGCTTTTTGAGACAGGGTCTCACTCTGCCAATCAGGCTGGAGTGCAGTGGCACCATTTCAGCTCACTGTAACCTCCGCCTCCCGGGCTCAAGCAACACTCCTGCCTCAGCCTTCCGAGTAGCTGGGACTAGAGGCATGCGCCATCATACCTGGCTAATTTTTTTGTATTTTTAGTAGAGATGGGTTTCGCCATGTTGGCCAGGCTGGTCTCGAACGTCTGACCTCAGGTAATCCACCCGGTTCAGCCTCCCAAAGTGCTGGGATTACAGGTGTGAGCCACTGTGCCGGGCGTAGAAAACTGTTGAAATGCTAATATTTTGGGATATTAAAAAAATAATAATAGTTTCAACTTTCCTTAAAAAAAAAAAAAAAAAAAAGATAAGGCAATGCTGGAACCACATTCATGGCAGCAGGGGCTGAGGGGCTGAGGACTGGCCACCTCCTCTGAACAGGCCAGGAGTCGCCGGGGTTCCACAGCCCACCCCAACTCCTCGTCTCCTCCTCACTGTGGCCCCAGGGTGAGCTGCCAATTTCCATCATGCCCATGTTGTTCCTTATTTTTAAAAAAGAGAAGAGATAAATATTTCTCACATCTTTTCTTGGTCAGAAGCGAAATGATTTATGTACAGCTTCAAAACAAGAAAACTAAGCCATATGGCAACAGACAATAGAACAGCAGCCACTTCCGAGGATGGGACTTACTGGAAGGGTGTGTGAAGGAATGTTCTGGGGAATGGAAATGTTCTGGAAATACCCTCTATCTTGATTCTGTAGTTGCATGGGTGTCTACATTTGTCAAAACTCCTCAACTCTTGCTCGTGCATTTCACTCTAACGGAAATTACACTGCATTAAGAAAAGGGACTCATGCTTCAAGGAAAACTGAAACTGACTTCTTTGTAGTATTGAACATACTAACAACTGGAAAAGAAGACACACTGAAGATGCCTCTGAGAAATCAGCCTGGCCCCATGCTTGGTCTCTGCTTGCATTTGAGTTTGAGACCCACAGGTTAAGAATGACAGATCTTCAAAGACCTATGCGGAGCTGCAACATTCAACATAGAAGCGCCACTAGCCACATGTGGCTATTTCAATCAAATTGATCAAAAATAAAGTGAAAAATTCATCCCTCCTTTGCACTAGCCACGTTGTCAAGTGCTTCATAGCCACACATAGGCTCAACAGCATAGACACAGGCTGTTTCCATCATCCCAGAAAGTTCCACTGGACAACGCTGGTGTACACATTGTCTAACTTTTGGTCCAATCAACATCTGGACCCCCGGGCAGGGAAGGCACCATGAACACTGCTGTGCAGCAACTGACAGAGAACAGGTGCTCAGGAAATACGCATTGAACGAATGAACGAAAGCAGAAGACACAGACAGACTTGAGTGTGAATCCCAACTCGGGCCTTTGACAACTGTAAGCACTCCAGCAAACCTTCCCTCTGAGTTTCTGTTTGCTCTGTACAGAGAATGGCATAACAATCTGTCCCTCACTCTCAAAACTGGGCACATACACAAACGTCCTCAGGGTCACTCAGAGCACCCGGGACCAAGAAAGACTTGCAGGACAACTGCCGTGTCAGCAGTCCTATCTGGAAATTCTGGAACAGGAGGGAGGCAAGGGAGCTG